TGTGCACTTGTACACCGTAGGTTTCGTATGAAACCTACGGTTTTAATATTTCTTTTGTTTTTTTTTAAAGTTATCCCCGTATACAAAAACTATTCCTAATCAACAATACGGTAAAATTTTTATAAAAAATGGACATACCTCGTTGTTCTTCGGGTGCTCCATTGAGAGAAAATAATAGACAGTGGAATGAAAAAATTAGCAAAAAGTAACCTAAACTGAAAAATAAGACATTATATACTATGGGGCAATGGGCCACAAAAGAGTAGACGGGCCACGAAAGAGTAGTTGTCTAACGTTGACCGTAGTCAACCCTAGCTTTGGCTAATGTGTTTTTTTGGCTAATTTTGGATAAATAATTAGTGATTTTGGCTAGATTAGTAATTTCCCCATTTATATATTATTTTTGTAAATTTATCATATTAATTTTAACAAGCTTTCATAACTTATATATTATGAGTATTAAAAAGCAACTGATTACATGTTGTAACTATTATATTGTATTTAAGATTAGTGAAAATCTATAAATAATATATCATTACTATATATGAAAACCCTTTTATTCTGGTGTCTTCAAAATCTAATTTACCCACTTCCAATTACGACACGTTACCTTACCTTCCGACCGACACAATAAAAGATCCACCGATTCACCTTCCCTCGAGAAGTTGCTTCCAAACGTTTTCATTATGCTTGACCAACTTCAGAAGCCAGTCTTCCCTTTCCATCTTACGAACACATCCTGTCTTCCCGGGACCATTGAAGTGTTATTCCTCCACTGCTACGGCGCTACCATCCCTACCCCATTTCATTTTTTCTCTCCTTAAATTTTCTGGGCTTTTTTTGTGTGCCGCCTACATCAAATTCACAAGGTTTTAAGTACGCCACATAACCTGTCTTTCTGACCAACGCAATGTATCACATCTCTTCTTCACCTCTCCTTCAACGTTTCATCTTCTCCAAATTGAAATCAAAAGATCCACCGATTTAGCATTTCTCATTCTCCTCTAACAAGTCCAACTTCCTCCTCAGAACAACGACGCCATCATCCACAAAAAAAACCCTGATTTCTTGTCGGGGTGGTATGGGAAGAAAGAAATTTCAAGGGTAAAGGTCAATAAGTCTTTATGATTCGTTAAATCAGGATAATCATCTGGTAGATCTTGTCGCATAGGAGAAACGACATCAAGAACAAGGTTTAAAGATTCTAAATTGTAAAAGGTAATTGACTGGATTTTAAATTGGGGCATACTCCTTCTATCGTCTCCTCTGCTCTTATTTTTTTGTTTCTACCCTACGAATCCACACTATTTTGGCATATCCATACTTTTAGAATCTAAATGGGTTCTCTCTTTGTACTCTAGAACAACGTCTGTTTATCCTTTTTCCTGATGCTGAATAACAATTGATTTCCACTAAATATGCCTAATTTTAACATCGCCCATACAAATTATGAACATATACTTGGACTTATTCTGGAATTTCACCAACATCCTGAAGCAAGACTTGATATGAAGTTGAAACAGACAAAATGATTTTTAGAAGGATTCTTACTTTTCTTCCCTTTTAAAAAAGGGTTCTTACTTGATTTTAGAAAATGGTAAAAAAAATTGGGAGATGAAATCATGTAGGATGTTCGAAATTTAGTTAAATTAGTGTTGTTTAGTTTCAAGCCGGAGACTGCGTTGAATGCATGTTGTTTACGATTTTGATAATCAAAAGTATCTGATTCTGACTTTTGGTGTTAAGTTGATAGATCATAAGATGGGCATATTGGTTGTCTGTTCTATTTTCTAATTTGGGGTTGCTTTTTCTTTATTTGAAACTTAGAAAATTGTTTCAAAATGAAACTCAAGAACAACATAATGCCTTTTTAGTTCAGAAAAACAAGAAAGCCATGTCCATTTTATTCCAACTAAACATGGTTGTACTTCTCTACTTCTTTTACAGGTTATTGTTGAATACGGAGGGTGTTACGACAGTTATTAATGTGGCATGAGGGTGTTTCGTTATCTCCTTCTATGCAAGTGATTCTCTAGAAGGTATTATTACTTTATTACCCCCATGAAGTTTATAATAAGATGTTTCTTTTTGGAGCTGATTGAATAGTGTGAATAATATACAGAGCCAGTCTATGCAAACAATATACAATATTGTAGCATGGGAAATTAAATCTTCGGTAGATGAGAATGGACACGTGCACCGGTTGATCTAAATACAATATAATTGGGTAGAAATTTCAAAGTGTAATGCTAAAATTGCAATATTGTTTTTGTTGTAGAATGTATATGTGGGCTGTGCAATTTGGTGTGGTTTAGGTGTTATGACCACCTGGATAGTTTGGAGGGTGTGATGAGGGTAGCTGAAGATAACTAGAAAAGATGCATAGTTCATGAGTTTTTAGAATGGCAAGGTCATATTTATGATGTATCCTTTAAAGTTTGATGTTGATGTAACTTTGGATTCATTGCCGGGGTGTCATGTGAGAGTTCTACAGATTTTGACGGTCAAATTAAAATAGGAATGTACTTTCGTTTGTTTGTATATTATATCATTGTACTTTCATATTCTTTATCTTATTCAAGCATTTTACGTTGAAAATTTACCTTTTATAGCATTGAACTTCCAATTTTTTTGTTACTAGCACAATATTCTTAAACAACCAAGAAAAAACCCAAGTTACCCTTCGTGGACCGTGCTTAGCACGGGCCTATAACATTTCTAGTGTGTGTGTGTGTGTATATATATATATATATATATATATATATTTGTATTTGACCCAAGATAGGGCTTAAGGCCCCCACTTCTAAGGGGTCCCATTTAACCCAAATACCAAATACCTATTATCATCAGTGAATCCGGATTGCTAGCCCTTACACACGACAATTTTGTTCTTTTTCTTCTACAAGTTATGACGTTTCTTCTCCATTATCGATTTCTCGGACTCTAAATCAGTGAATCTCTGATTAACGATCATGATTCTAGCCTCCTCCATTCTTGGTTTCTCCTGTTCTCCATAACAGCATTCTGATAACTCCTTCTCAGTTCTCACTCCTTGTAGTTTTGTAGGCAAACTCCATTGTTCAAAAATCAAAACATTACAATCTATGAATATGATCGATTATTATTCTGATATCTGAAGGAAATATCGATTATTGTCATCTACTCATTTGATTATCTATCACTGAAGGTAAACTCCATCAGTCCATTGTTAAAAAATTTCTGATGTTTCCCAAACTCAAAGTTCACTGTTACTGTGTTACACTGCAATTGTATTTTATATTTTCAGTTATACTTTGTGAAATTGTGAATTATTCATTGGTCATTGATTACAAGTTTACAATACAGAATCATTGTATCCTCAGTCTGTTTTCTCTTTATTTTCAGTTTTTATTTTTTCACAAAATGGTATATATATTTTTTTTAGTTTTCCAGATTTGATCTTTCCAATTTCCGTTATCTTGTATACTTTTATTCTCAAATCTCAAGGCACCAAGCTGCAGGTATAATCCTAAATCCTAACCCATCTTGGTGATTGTTCCTTGTTGATTGTTATTATTAATCAAATAATTAATAATTATGTCTTAAATATATTCACAAAAAACATATACATAATAAACAAAAATTAACTCCACCATTTTTAAATTTTTTTAGTTTATTATTGTCGGTCACAATCCCGGATAAAGGATGAAGGTTTATAACATTAAATATAATAAATGTAAAAGGGCCCCAAATTGTTGGTTTGCTTAGAGCCCCCAAACTTGTTGAGCCGCCCCTGGCTGACTGATGCAAAATGACCATTTTACTCTGATGCTCTAGTGATGGATAATAATAATAATAATAATAATAATAATAATAATAATAAAAGTAGTAATAATAATAATAATAATAATAATAATAATAATAATAATAATAATAATAATAATTGATTATAAAAGTTCAGGGTCCAACTAGTAATTTCTAGAAATTAGTTATGCAAGACAATTTAAAGTTGTGGTAGATTCGGCCAAAATAGGTATCTTCAAGGACCAAAACTGCCTAATTCCAATTTTGAGTTGTCTTCCTCCCCTTATCAAAAGCAGTCTTTGTTCGTGTTTTTTTTTTTGTGCGCCTGTGTTATAGTTTCTTTTTACCTTTCCAGGGATTAAATTGATGGTTGAGGAAGGAGGATGAGGGTGGTGCAGGGGCAATGGTGGAATGAATTTCAATCAGATTGAGTCAGCAATTTTTTTGGGTATGAGGGAGTCGGACATTGTTGACTCGGTCAGATGTAAAGTTGAGGCATATCAAAACATAGAGCTGACCGAGTCAGATATTTTTGTCTGGCCTGACCAAGTCAGATCCAAATCAAACGGGGCCTTAAATTCATGTAATCGGTGTGCTTTGATTTTTGTTTTTGATTTCTCGTATTTTTCAGATCTGTTTTATTTATTGTTTCTTCAAATCTAACAATGTTTTACGGCAGACGATATTAGTCTTAGTACTTTCATTTGGATTAAAAATAGGGATAAAGTTGATAGGTTTGATTGGTTTTTTTGTGTATGTCTCATATTTTAAATGTTTTTTGTAATTAGGCTTAGGTTTTCACTTAAGTCTTTTTTTTTATACATTGACTGATATTAAAAAAAAAAAAAAAAAAAATCTAATTTGAATATTATATCATATGTGTGGGGCAATTTACATTCCATTTTTATATTAATCTTCATTGAAATTGCCATATAACAGCAATGCCGACTTTTTTTTTACGCATTAACGGTTTTCACGATTGCTCTTCCAATACACGTTATAGTGGTGTCATATGCTTATATTTCTATAAAAATTTAGACAAGTGCATCATGATTCATGAATGTTCATTTCGCTTTTTTTTTTTTTTTTTTTTTAGAGAAAAGTTACAATATAAGTATATATCAATCTACATTTCATATTTATTTTTTTTTTATAGAAAAGTTACAATATAAGTATATATCAATCTACATTTCATATTTAAGAAAATTCCTCTTATCAAAACGACATCGCTTGAAGAGAGTTGTTGACGAAAGTTGGACCCTAGCCGATGCTATCGGGGGCACTAAGTCACTGATGCGACCAAGAATGGCGAAATCACGGCCTAAATCCAAAACCCTAGATTTCACTTCCATCCACCACCATCATCCCCTCCTAGATGCTGACTATGAAACATCTCCTGCTCTTTTTCTTCACCTTCCTCCACATATTCTACGAAAATTGGGTCCCTAACCCCTCCTGCAACGTGGTTCACAGTGGCAACAATCAAGAAATCGATCAGGGAGACCTTACAAAAGTGGAAGATGATCTTAAGGTTATGATGGTCGCTGATTTGCTCTTGACGGGACATGAAACAGCATCTGGATCCTTTGATCTACACTTGAAAGACTTCTTCTTTTCTCGATTCTTCAGAGTACGTAATTTGTTAAATTGTCTGACTAACTGTTAGGTCCTATATGATCATTATGCTCAACATCGCATTGCGCAAGTAGCACATTCGATGATGGTGATTTCGACTTACAAATTCTGTAGTCTGATATAGGATAATAGGTTGTTGCATTGCATTAAAATATAGTCTGTGAATCCCTTCCCCTCACTTTTCAACTTTAATCGGTTCAATTATTGCTGTTGTATACAACTGTGTCTAATAATATGCTATTATTATTGCTCAGCCAATTGGTGTCTTCCTTTGAAGGATTCACACATAAAAGATTCATAATCTGATCCCTCACATGTTGATATTTCAACCAGAAATCATTTGAATTCCTGAAGCCTGATATGCTGATTGTATTAGGAGACGTATCTGCACAAGGAGCAAAGTTAAGTACAAGCAAATGGTCATTTGTGCTACAAGAATTTCACAGTTTGTTGGGTCCATTTCTTGACCTACCATACCATGTTGTTCCTGGAGATAGAGACATCGGAGAATGCAATGGCCTGAAAGAAAAATCTGTCAACAAAATAACTAGAAATTTTCCAGGATTGGATTCCGGTGGTTGTGGTGCATTTGAAATTGGTAATGTTAATTTTGTCTCACTTAACTCAGTGGCATTGCTATGTGGAAACAGTGACCTACGTTTTAGTGTTGAAAAGGCTCTGGAAAGAGAACGTATAGAAATGGAAACGGAAAGCACGATTGATGAGTCCTCTGGAATCAAGATTCCAAAGTATGACATTAATTGGAGAGAAAACACAATGTCTTCTGGTTCGGGTCCTGTACTTTTGCTTCACTTTCCATTGCATCAAACAGAAAACAACAACTCAAGACCCGAACCATCAAAAACAAGGTAGAAAGAAATACAAAGATCTTTTAGACATTTAGTAGTTACAAGTTATAATGTTGCATCTAAATTCTAACATGATTTTAATATTTTCTCTAGCCAACATATTGGGGTTGGACCATATGAGTTATCACAAATGCTTCCACCAAATGCAACTGAATATATCTTCCATGCTCTTAGGCCCAGGATGGTTTTTAGTGCACATGCTCAAAGTTTTTCAGATCGGATTCATCCAGATGGGACCCGCGAGATAGTTGTTCCTGCCATGTCATGGGATACAGGGAAGAACCCTGCTTTTGTTGCTGTAACTTTTAGAAAGAATAAGAATGCTACTTCTGCCATTGTTAGTCATTGCAAGCTTGCTGGAAGATCTCATGTTCTACTGTTTTACATGTCTCTATTCTTTCTGCTCATATTAACTGTTCAAACAGCTTTAAGAAGTTGATATAAATTGCCCTCTCAAATTCGTGAACCATTTGCTTTCACAAATCACATCACAGGAAATGACTACAGTGTAATTTGTCATCTTGTGTTTGTGTTTGACTTTTTGCAATCTCAAGATTAACTACTTTGAGAACTCATGTTTATAAAGTTGATCATAAACATTTCAAGAAAGATGTTAGAGATGTTATTAAAATGCAAGAAAGATTTTTAAAATAAGAAACCCAAGTTCCGTGGATGTGTTCTGTTTGATCAACCACGATTAGAAAACTAATGTTACCCAATAAACCTATTTTAAAATGTTTATTTTTCGTACATGCTCTCACGTTATAAATTTATATGTGCAAGTAGGATGTGATGAAAAATACTATTACAAAATCTAAGGAAATGTTAAAAACTACTATAAAACATGTATGTAATAGGTATATAAACATTTGTAAGGATGATGTCGCAGCGCCGGCTTTTTATGTTCAAGTTTTATGTAGATATTTGGTAACTTCTTCCTCGCTTTCTACCGCTCTTCCTTTTATTGCAATCCAGATGTTTAACTAGTTAGAGACAGAGTTCATATTAGCATAGATGACGAATGAATCTTTCTTCTAAAACTTTAAAGGCATAAAGTCTGGTTGGTATAGCCAAGGAAGAAAAGATGGCATTTGTTGAGCAAGTACTTCGAGAGGCCAATAGGTCGGGTAACCACCACTATAACAAATATGGTGACGTGTCGTGTCATGTCACTGTCACATCATTACTACACAAACATTATATAAGTTTGGTATATCCACTACTACACATTATCTTTTTTTAAGTAAAAATAAATGAAAATACTAAATATTTAATTAAAATAAACACATTACATTATATACATCTAAAAAACACCGAAAATTAAACAAATAAAATAAAAATAAACATAAAAAATACCGAACATTCAAATAATCCTAAAATTACATAAATAAAAATAAATGCTCCATAAAATATACATAATTCAAAGATAAATTACTAGTCGTCGTTCATGTTGTTTTGGTATAGATGTTTTGTTAGATTTTCTTGAAAACATTGTCATGTTTCAACATCTTTGATTTCATATACTCTGCCTAAAAATTCAATCGAACGGTGAATAAATTGTTGATCTGCATTAACTTTGTCATTCTTATCATTCGTGCAAATTGCACTACATTTATATTCAACCATCATATTATGTAATATGATACATGCATACATTATTGTTTGTATCCATTCATCATTCCAAAGTTATTCAACGTGTTTCACTACATTTCATTTCTGCTTGAGGACTCCAAATACCCTCTCTATGTCCTTTCTACCGGATACTTGTCTTTTTTGAGTATTTCCTTGCTTTTTCATTTTAAGATACTGCACATGCCATCATAAAAGTGGATTAATCTGGGTATATCACATCACAAAAGTAATAAAAGTATTTGTATTCATGTTTGTTCACCATGGAAGACATATCAGGTGCTCGTTGGACCCTACAACCCAAAAGTACACATGAAAAATCCACAAATCATGAGATGCAACAACTTCTAGTATCAAAGATGGTTTACATGTCACCCCGTGTAAATTGATTACACCATGCATTTGGACATCTTTCCCGCACCCAATGCATACAATCAAGGTTACCGATCATTCACGGTAAACAATGCCTTGCTTCATGTATGACATCTGTTTTCATGACATGTATTATTACGAGATATGTAACCCGTTGATGGGACATGTAGATGCTACGTGATGCATTGCCAAAGAGAATGAGTTAATAAGTTGTTAAAAATACTTTATGTATGAAGGGCAACATACTTTGATAAATGCAACACATAAGTTAGAGAAACGTGACGCGAAGGCTACTATGTTGCTATAAATTAAAGGGTTGGTGAGAATTCGCGATGAGAGTATGAGTTTTGTCGCGACGCGATGATAAGTACATGCGACACATTAGAATATGACATGTCTAGAACACGTAGCGAATGAAGATGACGTGTGGCAAGACCCCAATGACACACCTAGTGGTGACGATCACGATGCGTCCTCATGAAAGTCAACCATTATACAAAGAGTTTAAAGACTGTTTCGGTGGTTCTTTTACGATTAATGAGTAAAATAAGGTATCATCTTATCTAGTTAGTATGTAATTATGTTTGTGTGCGTGATTGCGAAAGGGTTGTAAGAACCCAAGATAGATGTTAGTGTTTATAATACAAAGCTATTATGAACATAGTGGTGGTCTTAATGATATTATCTACATAACTGAGTATTATGTATTAAATGAAATTGTAGAGTCGAACACAAAAAAAAAATTATATCAAGGGTTGTGATATTTGTTATGCATGTTCATAGTAAAGTATAATATCTGAACTGTTATTTTTTAATATCGTGTGAGTTGAGTAATTGCATAGTTGAGAATTATAGCACTTTATTCTATTTGAGGAAACATGTCGGCATAATTGAGATACATAGGGACGTATTATTATATTTTGAGTGAGTACAGTCGAGATACAAAATAGAGTATTATAAGGTGAGTTAATGAGTGACTATGGTTGAGAAATATAACCGAATTTTACTATAAGAGTTAATGAGTGAGTGTTACTAAGTTATATAGTAGAACATTGTTATACAAGTTAAAGAGTTAGTGTGTGTATATATATATATATATATATAATAGATATAGATATATATATATATAGATAATATATATATATAGAGATATTAAATATATAGATATATATTTATAAACCATATTAGTCATATCTTTAATTTTAAGAGGTATAAGTTACAAAACTTTTTGTACAAATCAATTATGCATAAATAACTCATTAATACTTGCCAAAAGTTTGAAAACTTCGAATTAAGGAAAGTAATTAAGAAATTCAATTTGGAACAAAACGAAAATTTTAAAATATAAAATTTATGTATTTAAATTAATTACATATCTTAAACTAGACACAAATATTAATTAATTTACATCAATAGTAAAAACAGACAATATAAATATAAGGTATAAACATAAATATTTTATTTAAAAGTGGTAATTTTTTTATTACATAATAAGTAATAATAAAATCTAATAATTATTTTCCCGTAAGAAACTATTTGCCAAAAAAAACTATTTATCGTCGCCGCTTTGCGCAGATACACATCTAGTATATATATATATATATAATATATATATATATATATATATATATATATCTATATTATATATACATAGAGAAAAGTGAATATGTGGCTGTTATGTACTTAAGCTTAGGTATAGAACATTTTAAACGACGTAGTTTTAAACAAAACAAATCCAATTTTATTTTCTCCTACTTTTGTTTTAATAGAATACAATCGAATTAAGTTCAATTATGGAATGTAAAAGATCAATTATATATATTCTTATTGCAAATAATTATTGAAGTTATAAAGAAAATAAAAAACCAATATTTTTTTAACGAATATAACTCAAGCATTTTGTCTTTCAATTGAAAAACTATATCCAATGATTTTGTGAAAAGCTTGATTGAGTTATGACATGTACTTCTTTTATCTTTTATTCTATTAGTTTTCATTTAGAATTTAGTAGGGTTGATTAAATAGTCACGACTTTTAATGTTTTAAGTTCTTAGACACAATGAAGAAAAAGAACATATTTTTGATCGATTTAGTATGTCATATAATTATGGAAGAATAATAAAAGAGATATCATGATTAGTTTGGATATAAATGGATCAAACCTATATTGTTTGGAGGGTTCTATATATAAGCTTAGGTACATGACAACCACATATTCCGTAAGCCCATAT